AAGTGGAATTAATTTTAATAGTCACTGTAGACCGTATCGTGATTCCTGTTTTTCTGTCCCCAAATTTAATACCTCTTCAAATAATTTAACTTTTGTTATGAAATGTAAGATATTTAAAGCTTTATGAGGTCAGGGTTGATTAATAAAGCAATAATTTCAAATGGTTTTAAAATGTCCACCTAGTAAAAGTACGTACAATCACATGAGATGAGAACTCCAATTTTGAAAACACTTCTGGTAACTGAAAACAATGGCGCATTGGCCAGCGAACCTCACCTTTCCTTTGGTTCATGCCCAGCCTGTGCTTCCCTAGCTTTAGCATCCTTTGCAACTCGCTCAGCCTTTCTTTGCTGAACTTTGGTAGAGATCTCCCTGGCAGCATCGAGCCTCGATTTCAGCTCCGTTAGTGCCGACACAGGGGCAGGTGAGTGAGTAGTCACGGTTTCAGACTGTCCTTTCAGTTTTTGCAGCTTGGACTTCAATGCCACCACATCCTCTCTTGTAAACGTTTTCTGAAAGAACAAAAGAAACTTGATTAATGACAAGCATAAAAACACCAGGAGGTTCCTGCACAGGCGTGACGACCCCCCATGCGTTACCTTGCTCCTGGTTGTCCGCTTGGGCTTATCGCCTCCACTTGTTTTGTTTACAGGGGAGCTATTTGCATTATGATTAACAGTATTTTTGGACTCTTTGCTGGCAGTTTGTTGAGGTGCCTGAGGGGTGCTGTTGGCCAAAGGCTCAATGCTCTACATTAAAATAAGACAGACTGGGTTAGCAGTAATTAAACAAAACCAAGCACACACATGCATTCACGGGACAGTGGCCGGTTACATAAACTGCTTACAATAGTCTTAGTCAGTTAGTCATCTCAAGACTGGTCATAACTTTTTAAAGTCGGTTACATATAACAAATATAGATTGGTGTAATTTGAATCCAAAAAGTAAGACTGAATAACACTTGGTTAACTGCTAGGTAGTCAAACTAGTTCTTAAGACACAGTTTTAACATGATGACCGTTTATGCAACTGGCCCCAG